ACCCCCATGAAACCCAACACCCAATAAACACTTTGTTTTGGTGAACTGTAGTGCAGAGGTTCAGACCTGGAAATTTCATCTCCAGTCACAGAGCAAGCCCACGTTAAGGGCTGCCATTCCCCCAGAAGTGCCTTGTTTCAGCCAGACATCCTTGGGATACAGCTGAAGTTGATGCCTGGGAGGTGAAATTCCATTTCTCTCTGTCCTCCAATGTACTGGGTCTGGCTGAGCTGGAATTGGTTTTCCCCTCCAGCAGCCCTCCTGGAGCTGTGTTTTATGCTGGGAGCTGGCAGGGTGTTGATGGCACCCTGGTGCTGTGGCTACTGCTGAGCAGGGCTTACACAGCACCAAGGCTCTTTCCAACATTTCCCCCCCCAGTGGGACGGGGTGGGCAAGATCTTGGGAGGGGACACAGCCAGGACAGCTGACCCCAGCTGACCAAAGGGACATTCCAGACCATACGACGTCTGCTCAGTATAAAGCTGGGAGAAAGGAGGAAGGGGTTGGGTCACCCTTGGTCCTCCGAGGCAACCGCTACGCGTATGGGAGCCCTGCTCCTGAGAAGGCCCCACAGCGCCTCTTCATGAGAAGTAGAGATTAAATCTGTTTTCTTTTTGCTTCCACGTGTGGACCTTTGCTTTGCTTATATTAAAACTACTCTTGCAAGGGTTGATTTTCCCTACCACAACAGTTGTTTTTCCCTGTCTTATTTCCCCTTTTTGCTCTGTTGAGAAAAAAGGGAGAGGGGCGGAAGCAATAGAGCGACTTGGTGGGTACCTGGCATTTAGTCAAGATCAAACCACCACATCCAGGCACCATTCTGGGGACATTATTGGTAGAACAGCTGACCTGATCTGAGATGTCACTATCACCACTCCGCTGTGCCACTCCTAGTGGTCCACAGACCTCTCCCTAACCTATCTCAACTCACAAAATCAAAAGAAAAATATCCCAGGAAAAGGAAAACAACATCCTGGGAGGACAGCAAAGCAGAGCAGCTCAGCAGAAGTCCCAGAGCTTTCATGTCGAAGATGCAGCTCTCAGTAACTTTACTGGAAGAAAACTCTACTACAAAAGGACTGAGAGAAGGGACCAGCTTTCTTGATTGGAAGAAAAGACTTAATTATATCAGGCTCAGTTCTTAATTTTCCAGCTTTTGCAGCCTATTCACCAAAATACTTTATAAAGGCACCTGCTTGTTGGATCAGCCAATTTGTACAATTAGTTGCTCAGGGTATTTTTTGCCATTTTCATAAAGAAAACAGCTATAAATTTCATGCCTGTGAAGACTGTCAGATGAAAAGGCATAAAGATGGAAATCAGCTCTTTGTCCTACTAGGCAGAGCAGAAACAGAGCACTCTGGTCAAGAAAGTGGCATTTGAGAAGAGTAGAGCCCATGTCTGGGCCAGGCCCCCGCATGGTTGGTGGCAGAGATGCCAGCACCAGGACGAGTGCTCGATGCATGGGCAACGCAGTGCCACCAGCCCTCTCCCACCCCGGGATCCCCTATGTCAGAATGTCAACAGCAGTATGACCTAGCGGCCATCAGTTGTTCTTTACATATTTTAAAAAGCCCCAAATCTGGAATGAGCCCCAGCATCCCGCGCTGGAGTCAGGAGAGGTGCATACTTCCATATTGACTTCACCCCCACAGATGCCTTGCTAGTCAACGCTGATCAAAATGAAACAAGTGCCTCCCCAAGGAACCACTGAAGTGAGCACCTTGACACACAGATTCTCCATCGAATTTTGTTTCTCTCATACACTACTTCTGAAATCATCTATCAGAGGTGACAGAAATTAAAATGCTATTTTGCAGCTGAATTATTGTTTACTGAAGCAGCAACTGACCACATCATATGACCTTCCATATAAACGATAAAAATAGAAATGGATGAGCTTGCCAGCTCTCCAGCATTTAATCGTACTTGGTTTATTACAGAAAATATCCTTCATTTTTCTTAAGCCATGCTCAATTAATCCTGTTTGAATAAACTCTCTAGCATTTAGCTCTAGATCCTGGTCACTTCAAGCTGTGGCTCTGCATGGTGTTTTCCACAAGAATTGGTCTGCGCTTACAGATGCATATCAGAAATACATTTAAAGCCTAAAGTGATGTGGGAACTTTTTCTCTCCCTCCGAAGAGTTTTGTCTCTGCATGTCTTCTTCCAACATAATTCTGATAGAATTCAGCAGGAATTTTGGCTGACAAGCGTAAACACCCTCCCCCTTTTTTTTTTAATTTTGAAGCAAATCCCTAGAATTTAAAAATAATTTGACAGAACAAACTGAAAACTATTAATAAAAGCAGAAGACATACAGGTAAAAGCCAACTAAGGCATGCAGGCAAATAAATTTATTTTTATGCTTCATTTTGCAACAATTTTTATCGTGGGGAGGGGAGAGGACTCAGGGTTTCAATTTATCTGAAGCTTGATCAATAGTTCTCCACTACAATAAGCACGCTATCTAATTTCTGTCCTAAAATTAACAACCCCTACCCTGAAAGTAGTTCTTATTTTGTGCCTGTTCTGTTTACTGGAAGACTGCACAAGAACCTGGCTCTCTGATGGCTAAAAAACTGCTTCAAATTTCCAGTTTAAATACACTTGAGGCTAATTTATACATGCTTGCTCCTGTGACAACCTTGTCCTTGACTTTAGCGGCTCTTTCTCCTTCCAGCCTTTGTGTGTCACCAGATTAGCAAGCCAAGCTCTTCCAGAGTATGTTTATACAGCCTTTCACAGGCAAATATGCACATGCTCTCCCTATGCAGCTAGCTGGCTGGGTGAGAGCCAGATGCAAACTGGATGCTGTATAGACCTGGGTAGGACATTATTGAGCCTGAACTGATGGGCTTTGATGAGGGCAGCAGCTTGGTCTCACACCTCTTGTTCACATTAAGCTCACCTCTATCTGGCTCACAGCACAGGAGTAAGTGCCTGTGAGCCTCCAAAATACCCCCCACACGTAGCCTCTGTTGCTCAGCTGAGAGCCTCTCCACTCCTCTGTGCATCCCTCTACAGTCTTGCTGATCTGACTTCAACACTTCTGAGCTGGGCTCGTCACTGGACTACCCAAGTACCTCATCTGCACTGTCTGCGGACATGCCAGGATGCATCCAGAATGACTAAAGGGGCAGCTTTTGTCACCACTCACCACCACCCTGGGCTCCATGGGGGTGACCGACCCACAACCTCTAGGAAAGAATAGCTACAATCCTGCAGTACCAGGTCAGCTACAGGGATGGCCTCAGAGCTCACCAGTGAGCACAGCTTTCCAAAAGAAACACCAACACTCTGCACCTGGGTGTAGTTTTGCCACCAAATGAGCTTTGCTTTGCTTTTCCATGGAAGGGTTGAACAACAAAGCAAAGAACAGGAAGCCACTTATATATCATATAGGAAAGAAAAACCTGTCAACTCTAGCAAATCTGCATTTTATCAAATTAACATGATTTCGTGTTTGAAAGTCAGATCTACACAATTTGCTTCCTATTGTAATTAACAGAAAGCATTGATAATTGCACTATAAACAATCTTAACAATAAGAAAGTGTCAATTTTGTATTGGAATTGTGGATTATGGCAACTAATTCCACGAAAGAGTTAAATCAGTGGCATGATTATTCTGGCAACCATTACAAAGGACACTGCATTTTATGTTCAAATATTGTGGAAGATGAATTTGAAATTACATTAATGCACAAATTTATACAAAGCATGGAATCCTTTCAATTGTTTGTGTATCTTCAGGTAGGTCTCTCAGCAGTCTCGAAGGTCATGATCTTAAAAAAACAACCACGAAAAACCCGAGCTACCATTCAGATATCTGTAAGTCAGTATTTCCTGATCTATTACTGACTACCTTTAATAGCTGTTCTTCTGCTACAGAGCTGCTTGGACAATAGAGCTAAACAGGCATCTTTATGGGACCAGGCATGTTTATTACATCTGTGCTTTCTATCTACCAACAAGAGGCCACTCAATTTTGGCAAACAAAACTTAAAAACACCGGTTGTCTTTGGATCACTCCAGCTTTCAAAATAAATACTATCTACAACTCAAACAGTGCAAAGGGATTGAAAACACCTGTCACTGACAGATAAAAAGAGGAAAGGACAGATCACTTATCAAAGGTACTCACATTTGCTTTCTATCTGTAAATATTAGCTCCCATACATATATAATGTTCAAAACCAATACAGGAATACAAATAAAACAGATCCAGTGGAGAATAACAGTTAATCAAAACAGGACATCCCAAATTTTATGTTACAGCTCTAAAGATCTGATTTACCTAATTCTTTTTAAGGGATTTTGCTGGTCAAACCTTTTCTGCAACAGCCAATTCTACATCATCTTTTATATGCTAGTATCTTTTATAACATGTTGAAAGCTAGGAATAGGTGAATATCAGTTTGAACTCTGAAATCCTTTGATGCTGACCTTATCTCGAAGGTACAGGGAACACAGTTTGCAACCCCCAAGTTTGGAACTGACTGGGGACTACACAGCATGAATCAATGAAGATACTGGGTATAAGTGAGGCTGCTGTACCAAGAGACTTCAGTGGCAAGAAATGTTTTCTGCATACCTTTACCCTACCACAACAGGTGGCTTTCCCCCATCCCCTCACCCAGAAAGATGGGCACTCTGAACTGTCTTCCCTGGACAGGGATGAATCACTCCATTCATCACTCCACACAGTGTTCAAAAGTCAATGCACACTTTGAAAAAATGTCACTGCCCCTCCACTGACACACTACATTTCTAAGGACTTGGTGTTCGCTACAGCTGCGGCCACTGGGAAGCATAGAAACACAAGGCATGCACTATATTGTAAATTCACATGAGCTATTAAATAGAAACTTTAAGGAAATCTAAACACTAATCTCAGGCACATTCAGAATGGCAAAGCTATGAGGGCATTTTCACAGACAATGGTCTAGGAGTTATGTTAGTTCCCAGGGATTTCGAAAAGCGTTTTTCTCTTGTTACCTTGGTAACCGCTACCTTGGCACCCTTGTTGATAAGCTGCACCACATTCTCCACTTGGCCTTTGTAGGCAGCTACGAGCAGGCGTTCTGAAAGCACGGCGACCACATCCTGCTGGCTCATGAATTAGGAGAGAAAGGTTTTCAGGTTTCTTCAGTCCAAAAACAAAGGCTTGAGGTCTGTTCAAGCAGCATGCAGGCAGGCGAGGAAGGACCCCAGCTCCCTGGACGGTGACGTTATTGCTATGCCATCCTCTGGACCTGTGGATCAGAAAACAACACTGCCGTCAGCAAGGTTTCAGAGGCGGAAGCACTGCAGCAGCTCCTCCCCGAGTGTTCGTCTTCTCATCGCTTTGGGAGGGGGTCACAAAAAACCCTCGGAGCCTCCTGAAGACATTGCATTTCTGTTGCAATGCAGAGGGATGTAGACAGGAGCTTACTTCCAGTGTGCCCTCATTCCCCTAGTTTGGGACAAAAATCCATAAACTTTCTGAGAGCTTAACTCTCTTTTGGCCTAACCTGTATTTGTGTGGCTCCCTTTCATTCTCTCCTACCCCTCAGGTTTCCCAGACTTTAATTAGTCAAGGATGGGTTAACTACCTCCACTGCTAATAGTAGCTCAGCTTGTGTTGGCCAAGGGAACAAGAATAGGTTATAGTTACTGGCTGCTGATATAAATATACAAACCTCTGCCCTGGAAGGACTGAGTGCAGACAGCAATTAAAGGCAGCTGACTGTTCCCTCACAAGTATAAAATGCTTCACAGCCTCCCCAAACGATCCCAAGGACATCTTTAGGAGGGATCACAACCTGCAACTTGGAAACACTCATCTTTGCTGTCAGCGAGAAATTATGTTCCTCCTGCTATGCTATGTGACATCACACCCCACTGACCCCAGAAACAATTCAGATTTAGCACCCATCATGCAAACTTGTGAGCATGTTGTTCTTCCCAGGTTTCACTGACCCTTCCAATGAGCCATTGGAGCTCAAAAGAGATTTCTGACATAATTCCAGAAAACATCTCTACAGATCACTTTGAGCTGTAGGATCCAGAACCTGCCAAGTTTGGGAGGATTTCAGCTTTACCTGTGCTTTTCACACTTTGGTATTTAATTGTTTCAGTACAGGAAATGCACCTTCAAGACAGTCTGTGTGTATACAGAAGATTTCTCTCTCTCTTGAAATATCACTACACTGCTCCTTATCAGCTACCAGTATTATAGGCTTTGCATAGTCCAAGTATAATTGGTACAGGAACTAGATGATGTCGGCGATTGATAGCGGAATAAGCGGAATACAATGTCTTTCACCCTTATGTTATCCATTTGAATCCATCTCAAAACAGCAACAACTAAAAGCTATTACTGCTTAATGGCTTTGCTGCCTCCCTAAATTGATTTGGTTTTCTCAGTTTAGCTGATAGTACAGAACCCTCCCCATCATAATCCCACCACGCAGAGTACTGACATTTTTGCCAACAGCTTCAGCAGGGAGACCACTGCAAGAACAGCTGAAAGATTTAATTTCCATCCTCATACCAGTAAGACTCTCCCAGCAACAAGGAGAAAATGCAGTTGCAGAACGTGAACTCCCAAACTTTTTAATACTGGGGGCAAAACCTTTTAGTGAACATCACTCCAATGTTGTAAGATCATATCCACCAGCACACCTCTGCAACAAAAAGATGCTGTAGCCTTGTCTAACTGAATGGTTTATAGGGTATTGTGATCCTCTGTGTCACCAAACTAGTAAGCTCTTGGACCCCACAGGATCACTGATCTACACTAAACTTTTTTGATCACAAGCTCAGGTATATTAAAACCATGTTGGTTAATTTGTAGTAGTAGAAGATACTTGCAGAATTTAATTTGCATTCCTATGGTAATTTGTATTAATGAATCTTAAAACACTTTATGAGCAGTAATTCTTGTAACACTCTTTGAGGTGAATATTATACTCTAGAATATTACACGCATTTTAGAAAAGGACTCTTTAAAGCACAGGTAAGTTCCTGGGTTCTCCAAGGTTAATAGAAAAGTTATGTCAAAGCCAGGATATAACTCCAGATAAATGACTTTTAATTTCTAAGTATAACCTAAGCAATACTATTGCTGGGTAAAAGATTCGGGTTAGCTTTTCTTTACCATCTTCTTGCTTTCTAGGTGTGAAAGTGTTTGGAGCAACATGGAAATAGCTGCACATTTATTCAGAGAAACAAGACAAAAACTTTCTGGGTCTAAAGAGCAGCACAAGAATGGACATCAGAGAAGTGGTGCTGTACCCTGTGCTGCTGGACCAGTCTCACCCACACCCTCAATGTGACAGACACATTTTGGACGTGACAGCACCACAGAAAAGATGGAAGCAAGAATAAAAAACATGTTTCCTTTACCAGCACTGTACACACCATACCCTGTCCCTCCAGCACAGTGATGTGGCCAGTACAGTACAAACCACACTAAAAAGCCAAGAACTACAGATGGCCTACACTTGATCTGATCTGCAAAAAGCCACCCATGTTTTGATCTCACCTACCTGAGTATTTGCTTTCCAGTGACATGTTACCAAAGCAAGCTGAACCCCCTGAGCCCAGCCGCCCTGCTCCCAGTGCCTCCCTGACCCTCCCATAACATCCCAAAGCAGCACCTCCATAACCCAGCAGCGCTTCCCACTCCTTCCCTCCATGACCAGCACACAGTGCAGGGCAAGCCTTACAGCAGGGATCTTTCTCCATGAGCCTTTCAGGCAGTGGGGTGCTTTGCTTCTGTGCCAGCCTGTTCAGCAATGGCTTCCAGATGAATTGTACCATCGTTTGTCTGTCCACAGCCTTACACCTAACCTGGCTGCCTGTACTTTGAATGGAGTCATGAACAATACCCTGACAACTATGTACATCTCAAAACATCTGTGGTCAGATCCTGCTTGGTTTTCTTACCTCTTAAATTAAAAAAAAAAAGCAGTAACGTCATTGTCACTGAGAAATTTCCATATTCACTGCAAAAATCTGAATGGAAACATCTTCCTGACACGCTGACATTTCTGAGCAAGTTTGCAGAAACTGTAGATGTTCACTACATCTTAGCCACCACTAGAAACACACACTAATACCTCAACTGACTCATAACAGTGCAAAGTTTAGCGCTGCCAGGGAAAAGTGTGGTTAACAGGTATGTACCTATGCAAGGTAAATGCTGGAAATCGTACTCCCACATTCAATTTTTCTCCCTCTTTCTCACTGCCTTCCCATTACTGCAGAACGTTCCCCCTGGAGATCACGAGCCTTCTCAGCCTGCCATGCCCTGCCACGCTAGAGGGACGGACTGAGATGGCACCACTGTTACGTCATTTGCCTTCTTGCCTCTTCCAACGCTTGGTTCACATATAAAAGCATAGCAAGGAGTTGATTCAGCTATTGGTCTGTTATGTATGTCTCCACGTTGTCCAAGGCACCAGCAGTCGTTGGTCCCCCTTCCTGGAGGGCAGTCACATCACAAGGCTGGCTCCTGCTCCAGACTGCTCTGCAGATGGGTGCTTGCACAACAGGTCACATTCCCCATTCTGGCTGCTTTACATCTCAACTGGGATTATTTGCAACTCAGAGAAGCACATCCAATTAGCATAGGAAGCCCAGACAGCTGAAAGACCAACTTTCCTTTTTTCCTGAACCAGTAGGAAAAGGCAATGGGTGACCAGTGGGAGTGGGTACAATCTTCTTATTCCCCACCCAACGGCCCTTTCCCAGCGCAGCAGCTCAACAGGCAGTGGCATTGCTCCCTGCCAGCTTTAGCTCTCCACATGCCTCAGACACACAGAGCATCTTTCCTTGAACACTCCTGCACCAGCAGCGGGAAGAGGAAGGTATCAGATGCCCAAGGACTACAATTAAAGCTCGACCGCCCCTTTCACACCCAGATGGTGCAAAATGAACCCGACAAAACAATTAAAGGCACTGAATCACATCCCTGCTGCCAGCACCTGCTGCCCAGAATTAAATCACTTGTTATCACCCCCCAAATCCAGGAGCTCGGGCGAAGCACAGAGCATGAGCATATTCAAACCTTCTGCCTCCAGAACAACAAAAACATTTCTTTTGCTTTAACGTCTTTTAAAATCAAAACCAACCACCTCTGTGTTTCTTTGTTAAAGATCAGATTACTTACCTGGGGCAGGCTGGGAAGGCAACACCTACTTCCCAAGCCTCTCCAGGGAAACTGGCCAGGTGTGATGCCCACAGGTTCTGTTGCTCCACCATGGGGCAATCCCTTCCAAGGATAACCTGCTCCCCCCCAAGGATAACCTGTTCTGCCCTCCACCCCCACGCCCACCCCGAGGATAACCCACTCACCCCATCGGCAGAGTGTGGAAAAGGACAGGTTGACTGTGGATTAGTATTCAGCAGCAGTGAGGCACCTTCCCCAGGCACTGAGGTCCAGCTGCATCCCCCACGGACGATGCCTGTGGCTCAGTGACTCACGATGCCCTGCAGGGGCTCTAGGAGATGTTTGGCCGGGATGGCACAGCCACGGCGCAGGTGGGCAGCTGGCTTCTCGGTGGCAGGGTCATAAAGCTCACAGCTCTGGCCTCTCTCCCATGCAACTGGCAGCGTGGGTGAAAAATATTCTACACACCTTCTCCCTCCCCAGCTCCCTCCCCTCCAAACTGCTGCCAGGCTGCTTCAGTGGCTGTATCACCTACAAGTCAGTAACAAAATAGTACAAGAATGATGATTTTTGAAACACAAAGGGAAGTCTGGGGACACATCAAACATCACAGATATTGTAAGGCTAAGTGATAGCCTCTCCTAAATTCACAGAAAGGATTAAAAAACTCAGCTTGCTCTCTGAGTGAAGAGAAAAAAACCTGAAAAATGTGGAAGATTTAAGAGCTATGAGATAATCAACTTTATCAAGTCTCCCGCACTAAATCGAAAAGATGCAATGCCAGAGGACAGGTCACTCAGTACAATCACCAAGTTAAAGTAGTATATGAATAAAATAATGCTTCCATAGCTGACAAAGAGTTTCCATGTGTACCAAGGTACAAGATGAAAGAAAAAAAATTAAATAAAATAAAAAGGGACCCCATTTTTCTGCAAGGGAGCTCAAATTCTCTTTTCTAGTTTATCACCAAAAATGATGCTAAACCGTCCAAGATAAACTCTCAGTACCTGGTAGCTTCATTTTACACGACATAAATAATGGAATAAAATTATTCTAAATTATTTTAGAATAGCCCAGTGTTAAGATATGGAGTTGGAC